AAAAAAAAAACATGATTTGAAGAACGTCTAATATAGGAAATGTGTATCAAGAGCACTCTTAACTGTTGACAATCAAAACAATGACTCAAATGCCACAAACTAGAACTCCTCCAAAAAACTAGTTTGACTCCACCCCTTTCTTTTTACCATACAAGGAATTCTTCTCATCTAGTAACCTAACGTACACGTACACCCACTTAAGCGGATACACGATAAAACACAGAATAATTGGAAAGTATGGCTACTAACTCGGAATTTACATGATGACTCAAGATGACTTGTTTTTCGTTTTCACGCTTGGATACTACAGAATCTGGGAATTCTCTGGAAAATAATTATGACTCTGTGACCTTAAAAGGCTGAAGACGACTACAATGTAAAACTCCTGCGAACCTTCAATCTGTGAGCAAACTTTGTGCCATCGTTTTTTTTATATACTGTATATTTAGTGTGACTCGCCAAATTCACTGAAAAGGGCTCCACCCATTATATTAAGAATCTGGGGTCTTTCCATAATATTGGATGCAAATGAGATCTGCCAGCTCATCCTACAATCTGAAATAGTGACCGTGTTTTACATGTGATGGTGTTTACATAAATCTACATTTGAATACAACACAAGGGTGGAGGAAGCCTTGTAGCACTGGACAAACAAAAGGATAGGAACTGTTTTTTCCATTTGGTGCTTAACTCAATGAAAGGAAAGCTTCTGTTTACATGGTCCTTCTCATGTTAACACTTATGGAACACCAAGGTAAAATAAAGCAAACACATAAAGCATGTCTTATAGCATGAAAGTCATTAGTGTATCATTTGAGGTAAAATATCAAAACAATTTTCCAGAGACAAAACGCTGTGTTGGCACTGGCACAGCCCTGCTACTTTAAGGCTTCTACAGTGAACCAGTGCCAGTTTTTAGAAAGGGGAGTGTGCGCTGGCATCATGACATGCCTATAGATGTAGCTGCCAAAAACAAGTCACATACTGAATTCATTTATGTCTATTGTTGTGAAAAGCATCCCATTGTTTTGTGAACTTTTCCCCCTCCTTTATTATTTAGACACTTAACAAAACAAAGTGTATATGATTACTGCTTACCCATGATCAAATGAATAAATAACTAGGAAATGCATTTAATGCAACACATTAGACATTGTCATAATATATAAAGCAAACAAACCTCCATTCCCTGACTCAACGTGTAACATTGCTAGTCTGGATCTAAATAAGATCTAATCTAGACTGGATGGGTGAACGGGCTTTGGGTGAGGTATGCCAAAAGGCTTTGCTTTTTTGTTCTGAACTCAATTCAATAGAATGCAAGGGAATTATTTGGTTCATAAAATTGCATCACTTCCCCCTTTTGTTAACTTCTTTGGAATACCAAGGTAAAAAAAACAACCCAGGCTCGTAACACATGTGACACAACATCATTGATACACCATATATAGAAAAATACCCACATTAAATAAAAACAGCTGTCAATGTGCAAACATGAAGATAGCATTCATACTGCACACTTGATATGATTAGAAATTAAAATGCATAAAAACTTTAAACAATTACCATTGTCCATATCATACTAATTGGCATTAAATAAACATAAATGCATGCCCATTTCAAGTTCATAAATGAAAATGTAGCTCTTATTATTTAGCAATCTACATCCTCTCTCCTGCTAGAATACACTCAAATGTAAAGCTCCATCTACACTATTAAGTCTGCTCTTTCACTTTTATTCATTTTTGTTTGTGTATTGATAAATGCATGGACATGTGTCTTATTAAAGGTAATAAGATAAAATAATATCATGTTTAAATCTATATACATAAATATATATAAACACATTACAGTCTATCAACAAAAAGTTGTTTTGTTGTTGGACTATGTGGAACCCTTGATCATAGAGCACAGTCACTTTAAAATTCACCTAGAATGCACTCTATACCATTAGACATTGTTTAGGAAATTGTTGTCTATACCAGAAATGTGCATTTTACAAGCCAACACAAGTACGTTCAGTTGTTGTAATCACCTCAGTTCTGGTGCCCCTTATCACATTCCCATAGTTTGTCAGAACTTTTACAGGAACGTTTCAATGATTGTGCAATATCTGTGTAAAGCACATAAAATAGTGGAGGCAACAGACAAATCCCATGGGGAAAATAGCTAATTGAGTAAGTGAAGCAATCAAATGTCACAAATTTAAAAACACTCATTACACAAGCAGCCTTGTAGACCCTCTTATCCTTAAGGCCCTCTTTGACTTAAGTTTCAGAATTCAGACTGACTGCAAAGTATCAAAACTGTTATTTTAATGAAAAATGAACTTTAACTGATGTTGGTACTGAATACTGACATTTTGACACCATAAAAACCCTAATTGCAATACAATGCCATGTCATAGTGCATTGCATAATCCGAGACACAGTAGTGGTTTGTTGACTATGAAAGACATGGTAATGCAAGCCAGAGAAAACTGTGCCACACCTATTCTAAGTAATCTAAAAAAAATAAAAAATACAAATAAAAAAAGAGTCATGCATGCATGTTTGTCACTTTTCCTGTGACAAACTGCACAACTGAATGTTTTAAAGGTCAAAAATGTTTGCATAATACTGCAACCAAAACGAAAACCACAATGACATTTAGACTCTTGTTTGTCTAATGGGCCATTCACAAAGAATGAATTTCTGCATTCCACTACACTACTTTTCCACTGTTTTCTTTTGACATGTCATTCTGAAATCACAGCGCTCAAATTTGAAGTGTAACTTTTAAAAATCGCGTCTCTAGACCCCACGGTTTGTTCTTCATTCCACTGTCCTGCGTCTCACATTTTTTAAACACAAATATGCATTCTGTGTGAATGCCCCCGCCAAATATTTAAGAGCACTTCACTGCAGCTGCTGCTTGTTACTTTGTTTGGAACACAGTACCAATATACAGTAAAATCCATCATGCTGTGAGCAGTTTGGACGTTTAAAGATTTTTAATGTCTTTTAATGGTTATTTGTCTTTTTGCTCCTAAAGAGGCTTTGTCCAGTGTGAAGTCTTCATGTGTCAAAGGGCATTTGTAAAAAAAAAATAGTAAAGGTATTTTATCATACCCTCCATGTTCATTTAGAAATGGCTTCAAGTAAAACATCAATTATATGAAAGCAAAACCAACAATATAATGACTTGTAAAGTCACTTTTTGTCATTTCTATTCAATGCTACACTCACCCGTCACAATATAGCAATGTCTACAGTTTCTTTTTTATTTGCGATTACAAATTACTATGTGATTCTTAAGATTGAATAATTAATTTGTGCATCATGCAATTAATACATTTCATTTAGATTTGATTGACAGCATGTTGCACCAATTAAAAAGTTACCCTGTCTCATGGAAATATGAGGGCTACATTTGTTGGTGGGAACGGCAGCTGTAGACTCTGAGGGTTGAAATTCATGGCACCTTTACATTAGGAGCTGAATGTAAACACACACTTGAGTTCTAAGAAGAGAAATTCTGGATGGGGGATGTTTTTGAATGAGATTTGTTTTTATTGGCAGGAAGTATATCAAAGGAACTATTCATGATAATGAATGGAAGCTCAAGTCTCAAGAAAATGACTTGGAACTACAAATAGTGATTTTGTGCACGGGAATATTGCTGCATATTATCTCCCACAAAACACCAGGCAGACTTACCCAGACTCCTCTTTCCAGTTCTCTTTGTCTTTGCTTTGGTGTGTTTTCAGAACCCGCTCCAGCTCCTGAGGACAAGAGAGGGGAAGCTCCTTTACAGTGTGTGGTTTAGTGAGTGTTTTTATGTATACATGTACTCAGGTGTGTCATGTCTTTGTATAACAGGTAAGGATTAATGAAGCGTGTACATGTATATGGGACTGTCTAAATGTTTATGCATACAGTACCTTTATACATGACACATAGGGTGCATTGTGCTGTAGATCTCCCTCAGACAGAGTGCCCTCTTCATCTGGATTTGGGTTAATAAAGTCATATGGGTCCTGATCTGCACATAATCGGGATTAAAAAACTAAGGTAAGACACTTTCTTTTTGTAAAATTATGTCGTAATTACCAACTAGACACACTGACGATATGACATGCTATACTTCTCACAAACACAAAGAAGCCTTTTTAGTTCATTTTGTTAGATTACTAGGGCATGTGATTTGCATATGCATGTTTTGTTTTGATTGTAATCAAGTTGTGGTGTCAATCTTAATTACAGAAATACATGACACGCGTCAAGGCTCTCTGAAAAAATACCTGGCTTTGGCGGTTTGGGTAATTTATAAATAAATAATTCAGTTGCTCATTTGTCGCCTGAAAAATACACATAAAATCCCAAGTTTTAACAACATACTGTAAACCTAACCTGTCATAAATAGGTGGTTTGTAATATGCAGATTAAAATGAGATTTTTGAAAATGAGTTCGAAGTAATTTAGGATTTGGTGTGTAGGATACATTAAACACAAAGTATTCACTCGTTGTTTATGCACTGATCTTAAAATTCAATCTGATCTGCACATTACTGTTCAAAAATTGTGGTCTGCAAGATTTTATAATGTTTTCGAAAGAAGCTACTACTTATTTTGTTTAACATGAACAATGAGTGAAGTGGCCAGTGGTGGCAGACGCAATCTATGAACACTGTAAAAAAAAAAAACAATTTGTAGTTTTTACAAAATAATTTTGGCAGCTGTGGTTGCCAGAATAATTTTTGTAAAAAATACAGAAAAACTATAAAAACATTTACAGAACAAACTGTAAATTTTACAGTATAAAACCGTAATTTACAAACAAGAACATTTGAGTGTAAACTAGTAAATTCAACAATGCACACTGCTACTAAAATCTGTTTCGTATCTTTAACATAAACTGACAACCACCATAATAATGCAGGTGGTAAAAGAGACAGCAATATGAAGAATCAGTTCATCACATGTGGTTTTTCCACAAGCTGAAGTATATACTAATATATAGAAGGCGCACAGTCATTCACAAAAACACTAAACACCATCATGGTAACACACGACACTTAAATAATGCAATAAACATTCATTAAACAACAAAAGATGTAACGTAAACCCACATGTACATAACTGATAGCAAACATGACAAAACTATTAAGAAACATAATTATTTAAACAAAATACTTTAAAATGTGGCGTGTCAAGCAGGGAATTCTGGGAATATTCGTTTACAGTTTTGTACTGTAAATTATATGTTGATTTGTTCTTTTTTTACTTCTAAAAATGTTACAATTAACAGCATTTTACTGTAAAATTACATGAAATGTCTGGTTAGATCTTTTACAGTTTTTCCCTGTATATAGTATGGGAACTTACTGTCGTTAACCTATTAAAGGGGTCATATGATGTTGCTAAAAAGAACATTATTTTGTGTATTTGGTGTAATGAAATAGCACACAGCATCTTTAGGACATGGCGGCAGCGGCAACAGCGGAAGCCCCGGCTTAGCGTGAGCTGAGGCCGGGCTAGAGTGAGCAGAGGCGGCGGGGTTGAGAACGGCGCAGCCGGCGGATCCGACAAAGGAGCGGCAAGCACATGTGACGACCCCGGGCTTCATCCACGGTGAAAGCCGATCCGGCGATCCACAGCACTAAGTTGATGTATTCCCTCAGCGACCAGCACGGATCAGCTCTAGGCATGACGAAGCGGATATCGTCCTCTTTTGGAAGACCAAACAAAGTAGTTTCGCTTTCACAACGAAGCACACAGCATCTTCAGGACATGGCGGCAGCGGCAACAATACTACAGCGAGAATAAAAGTTACGCCTTCTTTCTTTGCGTGAACATTTGGGCGGCGTTATGCAAATCTTCCCACATAGTGAGGTAGATATGTGGGGGCGTGTTAGAACGAGCCGTTTTAGGTAGGTGTGGCTGACTCTGAACTTTTATAAAGAATATCTCTTTGGATTTGAGACTTTAGTCTTTGCAACTTTACAGATCTTCTTTATGCACCAAGAGCTTGTAACACTTCAAAGAGAAAGGAAAAATTGAAATCGCATCATATGACCCCTTTAACAGTTTTTTTCCGTAGCGTTTTTACAATATTTTACACTTAAAATTACACTCATTTTTTATTTCTATCATTACAACTCTCCAAAAAGTTTTATCAAGGCAATGGATATGACAATGCTAATTTATTTGGTCTTGGCCTAGGTAAACAGAGGTACATTTTTTTTGTTTTACATCCTCAGTAAAACAGTGAGTAGTGATTAGTCAATATTTATGTGACTAATAAAACATAACTAATATTCCTAATGCTGAAATCACACCTTTGTTTGAGTCCAGCTTTGTGAGAAGTATGTGTGCGTCAGCCCGTGCGGTCTCAGACACTTGAGAATGGAGGCTCATGGTGTCATCATCAGATGGCTGTGGAACAGAGCAGAAGAGAGACAGATGCCCTCTGGCAAACTGGCAAAAAGAGATTTACTTCTAGAAATTCAACTGCTACTTGTGTAACTCCCACATAATAGAATTCATCTATCATCCTATAAGATCATTTTTCTTTAACATCCAGGTCAGGCCAGTTTCCACAAGTGGGCCCTACCCACCTCACCCCACCCCAATATCTTGTTTGGTTGCCTGGTAGAACAGTCAAAACATTTTTTTTTCCATTTTATCAAGTGACAAACAGCCTGTTTGAGTGTGCATGACTAATGTATGTATATGTGTGTTTACCTCTATAGTCGACAGTCTTTTGTCACCGTTGTCACTGCCAATACCTGAGTCAGGGCCATGGTTTTTACTTGGATAGAAATCTTCCATACTAAACAAACAAACATATATACATTTAACAAAGACACAGAGAGACACACATCATCGTTTCCCTTCACTATACTATGAGTTAGATGAGGATAAATTCAATGAAACGATAAAGCAATATCACACTTAGAAGATTCAACAACAGTTAGTGGGCAATTATGTAAATAAATATGTCAATGTGTCCTGAAGACCCCCTTCTGAGGGTGCTCAGCTTAAACAAAAACAAAACATAACTTAATACAAATATTGAATTATTACAGAATTAAGGGAATGAAAAACATTAAGAAAAAATAGCAAGCATAATATATGCATATATATACATATGAATATACAAACACAGATGTATATGCATTTACATATATACATAAACATCTAAATGAAATAAGAAAAGGGCACATTTTAACCAGAGCCTGTGTCCTTAAAGTAAAGTAAAAATGGGCATCTAGATTTTTGTAAATAGATCGGGTTTAATTCTGACTCCAAAAATTAATCAATTCCATTTCATGGAAACAAAGAAGCAGCACAATTGTGCATTTATACAACACACAATTATACAATTATATCATAATATTGAGTAATATTGTTAAATAGATTTTGAGTCATTTAAATTAATATTAAAGGGGTCATATGATGCAATTTCAATTTTTCCTTTCTCTTTGGAGTGTTACAAGCTCTTGGTGCATAAAGAACATCTGTAAAGTTGCAAAGACTAAAGTCTCAAATCCAAAGAGATATTCTTTATAAAAATTAAGTCAGCCACACCTACCTAAAACGGCTCGTTCTAACACGCCCCCACATGTCTACGTCACGATGTGGGAAGATTTGCATAACGCCGCCCAAATGTTCATGCAAAGAAAGAAGGCGTAACTTTTATTCTCGTTGTAGTATTGTTGTTGCCGCTGCCGCCATGTCACGAAGGCTCTGTGTGTTTTGTTGTGAAAGCGAAACTACTTTGTTTGGTCTTCCAAAAGAGGACGATATCTGCTTCGTCATGCCTAGAGCTGATCCGTGCTGGTTGCTGAGGAAATACATCAACTTCGCGCTGTGGATCGCCAGATCGGCTTTCACCGTGGACGAAGCGGAGTCCAGCCCATGCTTGACACATGTGGTTGCCACAAGCCCGCTGGACGTTCCTTCGTTGAATCCGCCGGCTGCGCCGATCTCAAGCCCGCCGTGTGTGACGCTGTGTTTCGTTGTGAAAGCGAAACTACTTTGTTTGGTCTTCCAAAAGAGGACACGACTA